ACAGAGACACAGCTGGTCGACGGAAAACAGGAGGAGATAGTGGTCTGGAAGTATCCTGAGGAAAAAGTCGCAGAATTGGACGAACTTCACGAGAAACATGGAGTGGTGTTTAACTTCACTCGCCACGGGGCAGATCTCCAACCTGCGGAAAAGAGGAAATGGGTCATCGAGACGATCCGAAAGGAACCACGGCTCAAACACATAGGGGAAACGTTCTCCCTTCAAAGTCTGGGTAGGAACAACATCATGGTTCTGTTTGTGAAAGAAGACCACGCACGGATTGCAGCTGAAATGCAATCCAGGAATTGTCATGGTTCGGTCTGCACAATCTCGAGATGGAAGAAGCTATCGGCACAAAGGCAGACCCCGGCCTTTGCGATCTCATACAAACAAACCTTGATGAAGGAAAATTTCTGGGTTCAATTTGATAATATCCAACCGGGATTTCATGGGCTGCTGGTGGATAGACTCGAAAGACAATACCCGACGAACAGAATCCTCAAATGGATCCTTCCCACTCCAGATTTCCTAGCACCACACTGCGGATCTATGACTGCGATTCTGGACGTGCAAACGGACGACCCACCAGTCTTTCCACAGACTTGGAACTTACAGATTGAAAGCAGAGTGGTTGAGATCAGAATCTCCACACACACATCCCCCATTTGCTTCCGCTGTAGAGAGCGCGGACATCTGGGCACGGAGCCCACCTGCCCGAAATTCCTGAAACAGGCAAAAGACAGGAAGTTATCTCCCAACATGCTGCTAGAAGTGGAAGATGCCCCTGGGATTTGGTTCATAGCAGATCCATCCTTCGATGGATGGGTATTCGACGACAACCTCGAAGAGCCGGACTGGATCTGGCACTTTGCAGACTCGAACCCAACTTCCAAAAAACCGGACATCTTCCCTCCGGCGGACAGCAGGTGGCAAAAGAAAGCCACTGGAAAGGTAAGAGGCAACSYRTCGAAGATCAATACTATGCCTATCACAGACTCAAGGGAGATCAGAGAAGAGAAAGCAAGGGAGGACCTGTTGACAGACCTGGACACAATAAGAGAACAGATAGAAGAGGAATACAACAAAGACCCAGAATCCTTCAAGGACGCACTGAAACAGGCTGAAGCACAAACATACAAAAAAAGAGCCAAAAGCCGACCAGATACCAAAAGCCAATCACAGAAAGGGGACAATCCTACAGAGAAGGAATCGGGACCAAAAAGAAGAAGGGCTGAGACACCAGTAGGGAAACACGACAGCACCAAAGACGAGGCTGAAAATGTGAGAGAAGGAATGGATGTTGATGCATCAGGAGACCAAGCGGATGACGAAGCTGACGGGATAGATCCCAAGCCCGGCTCCGACACAACAGAAGATGAAGAACGTGAGGAACGGTCCCTAGCATGGTTAAGACAATACCTGCAGAGAGCAAGGAGAGAGAGGGAACATGCATTTGATGTCACGGTAGCATGTCTGAAACATGCTGAACGATCCCAAGCCAATGGGAAAAAGAAAGTAACAGCTGGGATCAGCAGTTCCCCCAACCAGTTTGCAGCCCTACTGAAGGTGAAGGCGGATGAGTTTTCAGAATATGCAGCCTTCAGATACGCAGAAAAGAAAAGGGCAAGGGAAAACGGAACAGAGGACGAAGACAAAACAATTCCAGCAACTAAAGACATTTTCCAGGACCGACGTCCCAAGGCAAGGAAGACGAACAAGAACCAAAAAAAAAGGGAAGCTAGCGATGAACAAGAGRCGGGGGAAGACAAATCTGATCGGGATATGCTGGAAMAGGAAGCARCGGTGATCTTGTCCCAGACTGAAAAACTGAAAAAGTGGAACAACGAATACGSCCCGGAATWCACGACAATTGCACAGATCGCCAAAGGGAAAGCTACGATGGTGGTGGAAGCAGCGAAAGCTGCACGCAAAACACTGAGGAACATCAGACCGCTCATCGCTGCCAAATATGACATCAAAGTAAGGGAATGGCAAATTGCAACCGATGTCGCCTTCCAAATTCCCTATTTTGTAGAGGGAGAAAATGTGATCAAGGTGTTAAAAAACAAGGTTGCCCCGGAAAATCCACTGGGTCTGTTTGAGACGGTGGCGTTAGACCCAGATTTGGAAGAGACTGGGTCCCAAGAGGGCTCAGCAAATGATCACAAGGCCACGGAGTCAACAAGCAAAAAATC